CCTTCGGAGAAGGATCCACCGGGAGCGAATAGGAATCACGTGCCCACTTTCCAATTTCAGCATGTGAAATGCAATCACGCTTGTTCCTCAATGGAACCGATCGAGAACGAGAAAAGGAGGATGCAGATGGCTTACTCAAACGAGAAGGAGGGACCAGGTCGTTCGAAGAAGCGGACGCTGGAGGGGGAGTCATCGGAGTCGAGGACGCCCTCCTCGCCTGCTCTCCCGGCGTAGCCACATTGGCCTTGCACCAAGCATCGTGGAGCCTGATGAGCTCCTCGCGCTGTCGGAGCAAGTCCTCCGACGAGGCTTGCGCGCAAGAGCCCAGGGAAGGCGCCCCGCGAAAACGCTGAGGCGACGTCTCCTCCCCAGGGTTTGACTCGGCATTCCCCGCCGGCGAGGATGCCGATGGGGGTCCACCCGCCCGGTCGTCCGAGCAAGGAGACCGAGACTGTGACCGACCCATCTCTTTTTTCCAGCACCTATATACAAAATCTTAGAAACACAACTTATGTACAAAAGTTATATCAAACACAACTTGTGTACATGAGTTATTCTATACAATTCTACAAAAAAATTAAAAATAAAAAATAAATCAAAGAAGGATAAAAATGTAAAAAATAAAAAGAATACTAAAAAATCACATAAAGCAAATAACTAAATAAAAATAAAAAGAATAATAAAAAAGAGAAAGAAACGCGTGCATGCGACAAGAGTGGGCCCATGCAGGAGTGTTCAAAAATCATTGCTTTGTGCCTTTACACAAACATGCGGGAAAGCGCTTGCAACAAGAGTTGTGGGGATGCGCGCGGCAGGGTGGAAGTGTTCGCTCGTTTTAAAACGAGTGAACGTTCATTGAATTGGAATTGGGCCCACCAACACATACAACCTAGTCCCACACATGCACCGACACACAACCGCCGTCACCGCCTCCACCACTATATTACTATTGAGAAGTTATAGCGTAATTATATTTTCTTATAAAAGTATCATTGAAAATGTTTTTTTTCTAAAAAAGAATAAAAAATCACACGTCCATGAGATGGCAATGATTCAGAGCTGTACGCGGCGCAGGAACTTTGTGAGATAAATCATGCAGATACACGGGAAATTTCTTGTCCAAATGTCCCATTCATACAAGTATGGTATTTGTCTGCGGTGATTTGGTAGCCTCAGCTCTCAAAGCTCTGATGCACGGGCGTGTTTGCTTACGGACCTGAGAAAGTTGCCTGGCGATGCCTGGCCGGTCTCTTGCCTGGGAGGCTGCAAAGCAAACAGGCCAGCAGCGTTAGGTGAGCAGGCAAGTGAAGCTCAGCTTCACTAACACTAAACAACGCAGAACCTGACACGGATTGGCCAGCCTTCACCTTATCAAAAAGCAGGGGAAGTGATTGAGACCACACCAATAGCTAGGACATTAATACTTGCTGTTAGAGCTGTACTACAAGTTTAACAACTCGAATTGTCATACTATTGCCTACAAATTCAAGCCAACGACTACGCATATAGGAGACCCATTTTTTTTTCTTATGCCATTTGGTTGGCTGGATAAACTCTTCCTACCAATACATACTAACCATCTGCAATACATTACACTCTCTGAACTCTGAACTCTGAAGAAGTTTATTGGATCCTAACACCATTAGATCCCTTGAGAACTCAGAAGCAATGCTTGCAGCTGCACTGCCTACCGACACAAGCAATTAGGACTTCAAATCGACTTCAAATCTCAGGTTGCCAACTTGCAACCTTAGCTCCTCATTGTTTAAAGTTTGATGGAAAGGTGTGTTCCACCTGCTAGGCCATTTGAGAAATGCACGCTCATTGAGCATCTTCCGAGCTTTGTTTGTATATGAAATATGAACAGAAAGATGGCATTTCCTTGTCCTTTTGGAAAGGGGTCACTTGTATTCCTAGTGACCTCGCAACTAAATGAAAGAAGACCACTCTAAACTAGAAAAGTAGGGCCTATAGAAACTAAATGTACTTGACCATGCTGGGCAGGTCAGTGCATTGCGTTTTCTCTTTGCTGAATCTTTGCTATGTTTAAGTCCCTTCCATAAAGCACAGATATTTGTTCTCAGTCGTTCAGTTGTTAGGTCTTATAAAGCTGTGCACATAGTTAGGTGCTAAATGCATGAAACTTGAAAATATTGGGTGCAACTCCAGTACCAGTGTACCACCACTCATTTTTTTATGAGCAGGGTTTTTTTTTTCCTTCTCTGGTATTTATTTTTCTCGTTTCAAGGTGCGTCAATGAATTATGCATAGAGCTTTAACTTTAGCAATTCTTTATTCCCTGTCACAAATTCAGACAACCACCCACTAAGTACATATCAAATGCTGCACCTGTTTCAGGGGAAAATATTTCTTTAGGTATACCGTACACATGATACATACCTAACGAGACAAATTTCATTAGCATTGATCGGCAGACCTCCTGCCTTTTCCTTGAAAAAAGAGACAAATTTCATTAGCACTTTAACATGAAGAGATTTACAAAATGGACCTTTACTGTAAATGCAAGGAACAAAGTGAATTTCCTGTCCTGCCATGCAGGGTTGCCTGGGATTCTGGGAAGCAGCAGCAGAGCAACCATATTTGCTACTAGCCAGTACCCAGTAGTGATAAAGAAAGGCAAGATGAAGCTGGCCATGTATTCAAAGCGTCCAACATAATGTGTACGACACCTATCCCAGCTCAAAAATAACAGATAGTAGTACCTTTACCTTTTCTTTTGTGGTGCATTTTGATCAACAGAGTACCAACGATGATGGGTTCGTTGCACTGTTGAAAATCAATGGAAACGCTGTGGTGACAGAGATTAGAGAGATGAAATTGGCCGCATACTTCACCCAGAACAACATAAATGAGCTACTATATATGAAGTCAGGTTTAAGCAATACTACTTAGACCGAAAGCGTTTCAAGTTCTATGAAAGTTATGGAACTACCAAACTGAATACGTACCAGTGAAAGAGAAGGGAGGGAACAGGCTAGCCAAGCATGCAGTGACCAGTGAGTGTGCATTGCTGGTTGATAGAATTAATAAATCTTTCTTGAAACTGCCAAAAAGCAGAGTGATGAAGATAACTTGGATAAAACTGACCACAAAACTGGGGGTGAAAATTTGAAGTTCAAGGAAACAAACGCGTCCTGCAGCGATTTCCAAACTGTTAGCATTTTCTAGGATTAAACTATCAATGCACCGATCAATGTAAGTTGGCGGTTTTCGTTAGGTCAATGAAACCAATCTAAAAGCCGATCAATGACAGAGAAAGCCAGGATGAAATTAGCCATGTAATCTGGAGCTGCAAACGTACCATGTCGTCTATGTTTAAACCACCGGCTGTTTCTAGTGGCTAAAATATGAAGTTAGCTGCTGTTGCAAAAGGTTTGCAGTTAGCTCAGGATTTCTCGGCCAAGTATCACCACAGGAAAGGCGATACTGAAAAAGAAAAGCAGAATGAAGTTAGCCACATTTGGTCTATGAATCATCTAGATGGTTGCCAAGTCTGAGAGAAGGAATGAACTCATCAATGTAGCTAGTTGTTTCGTTTCAAAAAAACAAAAAAAAACAATGTAGCTAGTTGTTAGTTTTTCAAAGTTATCAATGCAGTAGCATGTTGTGAACTACTAATAGCATAGCATGATACTGAAGTTAACAAGTCATGGCCTGCCTGTGGGAAAAGAAACGACTTTTGTGGCAAGAGAGACTGGTAAGAAAATTAGCCAAGTAGGGATGTAACCAGAAATTAAAAACAGACATACGCACTTCTGAGAGTTCTGAATCAAGCGAAAGAGCAGAGCGAGAATTTACTGTTTAAGCTGGCTATTACTGAACCTGAGTCCTCAAAATATGTCATAAATTGAAATCATGAAAAACTTTCATATACAACCTGTAACACCCCGACTCAGGGCTTAATAGGGTTAATAGGATACTCGTACCAACAAGTTGCAACTTCTTTTCTGGAAGCCCATCTCTTAAGAACTCCAAGGTTAAGCGTGTTTGGCCTGGAGCGATGGGTGACTGACCGGGAAGTTCTTCCCGGGGGCACATGAATGAGCACAAAGTACGCAGAAAAGACTGTTGTTGGTCTGTGGGGGCAGTTTATGTCCTAGGAAAGCTACCAGATGTAAGCGGGCCTGGCCTCGGGGAGGCGGGACGTTACAGAATGGTATCAGAGCGGGACGTTACAGAATGGTATCAGAGCCGCACTGGACACACGGACGTGGCCAAGAGGGGACGTTCCTGGCTCGTCGGTCTCTTAAGGGGGTGAGGATGTAACACCCCGGCTCATGACTTAATAGGATTAATATGATACTCGTACCAACAAATTGCAACTTCTTTTCTGGAAGCCCATCTCTTAGGAACTCCAAGGTTAAGCTTCTTTTCTGGAAGCCCATCTCTTAAGAACTCCAAGGTTAAGCGTGCTTGGCCTGGAGCGATGGGTGACCGACCGGGGGCGCATGAGTGAGGACAAAGTACGCAAAAAAGACCGGTGTTGGTCTGTGAGGGCAGTCTATATCCTAGTAAAGCTATCAGATGTAAGTGGACCTGGCCTCGGGGAGGTGGGACGTTACACAACCTACGTTAATTAAACTATTTGCTGTCTTGTATATATATATATATATAATTCTTAAATACCCAATTATCCCCTTTCAGTTACCAGAAAGGTAATTACTGACAACGAGCAGCAGGAAGAGATGAGCCAGGGAAACTCATGAACCATGTAGTATGCTGAAACCACCAGCAAATTCCACTCACTAAACTAGCAAAGCCATCACACATTTTTCAATAAGATCGAGTGGAAGCTTTCAAGCAGCTACCTTGAAGCCCATATGCTACCAAACAAGCCTGACGCAGCACCTTAACCTGAAACTCCTTTATAATAGACCCACAACCACACATACGAAACCTCATTCCAAGCTCGATCTCTTCATTCATTCATAGTCTGCCTCCCAAAACACCTGCCTCGCGCGTGGCAGCAGCACAGCACGATGATCACCACAGCACACAGCCGGCAGCAGCACCATGCCTTCGAGAAGAGCCCTGGCAACAACCACATGAAGAGCATCGACAGGAAGCTGCAGCAGGCCATGAACCAAGCGGCCAGCAAGTACATGCAGAGGATCTACCCGCTGGGCATCCAGAGGAGCAGCTCCAACCTCACATTGTCGTCCCTCTCGCTGTCGCAGAACTCCAACGACTCCTCCATCAGCAGCTCCAACTCCAGCTGGGAGCCCAAGGTGCCGCTGCTCTATGGCGGCACCTTCAGCCCCTGGGGCGAGGTGATGGTGTCTCGGGAGATGAGGCGAGAGGATGATGACAAGGTCAGTGACCATGACGTCGAAGGAGGTGAGGAGGACTTCGACTGCAGTGAACCAGGGAGCTTGCATAGGTGCAGCTGGATCACCAAGAACAGTGGTAAGAAACTAAATGCTAGCTAACTTTAATTTGTTTCTGCCAATCATTTTTTGAACTGAATCAGTGATCTTCATTCATGTATTTGTTTCATTCACATGCATTATATTAGCATGCATGATGTTCCACTGGACGAAAACAGTTTCTAATCCAAACCTATCATCTCATCCAATTTGACAGAGCTGGGCTTTAACCACGCGCTTTCACCTTTGAGAACATCGGTTTCTTTGTACAGGAGATGCGCATATATATTATCTAAAAACAGGAGATGCATATATTGTTATATTATTGTCTAAAAAAAGATGCATGTAAGCACTCGGCTAACTGAATGATGCAAAAAAAGTAAATTTTTACCAACCAATGACTATATAAAACAAAAGAAGTTTGGATAGACAATGGGGACAGTCAGGCAGACATCCTTGTCCTTTAAGAAGTGGCAAAGTCGACATCGCTGACTTGATACTCTGATTTGACTGACCAAGTTAGAGTGCTGGTGAGATGGAGAATAGCAGCATTCAGTCGACAAATTCATCGGAAAGGGACTTGTCTCCTGTTCGGTGTAGTTTGTTGAGCAAAATAGACTAACTAGGATAGAAAAAACGAAGAACTCAAAAAACAAAAAAGTGAAAACTGACTGACTGACTGCAAATTAATAAACGCATTGTGTTGTGCAGACGAGGCGTACGTTCAGTTCCACGACGAGTGCTGGGGCGTCCCTGTGTACAGCGACAAGTATAGTATTTGATTTTGCCACCACATTTAATTTCTCCCTGAATTTGTGAACTTGCAAACTTGAAACTAATCTTGATCATGCTTGTGATCGATGTCTGCGGTGAATGAATGATCGATTGGCATATATGCACGCAGCCGGCTGTTCGAGCTTCTGTCGCTGTCAGGGATGCTGATCGACCACAACTGGACGGAGATCCTCAAGCGGCGAGACATGTACAGGGAGGCGTTCGCCGACTTCGACCCCAGCGCGGTGGCGAGGATGGACGAGGACGACGTCGCGGAGATCAGCGGCAACAGGGAGCTGAGGCTCGCCGAGTGCAGGGTCCGGTGCATCGTGGAGAACGCCAAGTGCATCCAGAAGGTGGCCAGGGAGTTCGGCTCCTTCAGCGGCTACATGTGGGGCCACGTCAACCACCGACCGGTGGTGGGCAAGTACCGGCACCACAAGTACATCCCGTTCCGGACGCCCAAGTCGGAGGCGGTGAGCAAGGACCTCGTCCGCCGGGGGTTCCGCCTCGTCGGCCCCGTCATCGTCTACTCCTTCATGCAGGCCGCCGGCATGGCCATCGACCACCTCGTCGACTGCTTCCGCTTCCACGACTGCGTCCGCCTCGCCGAGCGCTCCTGGGGCATCACCAACGTCGCCGCATAGCCTGCCCTCCGGCAGCCGGCCGGCCCCTCGTCCGTCCATGGCTCTCGATCCAAGTTTTTTACATGCACCTTTTTCTTGGTGTTGTTATTTCTTTTTTTTTCATTTTTGTCTGGAGATCCGATCCGGTGGTAACTCTTGAATTGTGTGTGAAATGTAGAGTATATATGCTACTTAAGTTATGATGTAATAAGTCTATTACCTCTTTGCAAATGAAAAGTAGCAGCCCTGCCGCTCAATTAAGACAAAAGAATTGTATGTACGAGAAGGGTAGCCCAGCGTGGAGCCAACATTGGACACATGAAGGGCTAACCTACCCACGCGACGCGGAAGAGCACACAAAACTACCATGAGTCACGTTGTTCAGCATGATTGCAAAGCAGCCAAGAACCGACTTCCCATGGCAAACCCCAGACGATCCAAACGAAAAACAGCAGACGCGTCCGAAGCGAAAGGCCGCAACAGTCATCGTTGCGAGCTCAAGCTGAAGAGCAACTCCGACTTCCGATCTTGATCTCCGCCCGCCCGCCCAGATTTTGCCCGACCTCAAAAGCAATCCGATCCACGAAGAAGGGGGTGTCGCCTCATGTCATCGTTGCCGAGCCACATCCCCTGACGTAGCAGCTCCGACTTCACGTTGCAAGTCCCTTCCTCCACACGCATACCGAGCGCCGAGAAGCGAAAGCATCAACCGAAGGCGACGTCGTGGCCGAGACGAACTTTAATAGCGACGCCTTCAGGAAGGGAATGACGTCGGGGACGCTACCGTCGCTCGTCCGAGATGGACCGGGCTTTCGCCCATGGAAGACAGTGCTAGGGAACGCGACGCTCTCAACAGGGGAAGCGGCGCCCACGGGCGTCACCGTCCCCGAGGCTTTAGCCCAAGATTTCCTCCAGCACAACGTCAGGCCAAGACCCCGGGTCATAGCATGCTGTCTCCGCCGTCGTCGCTGCCCTGCCATCCCGCACAAACCCTTCCAGAGGGGCATCGACGCGCCGGCTGCTCGGCCACATAGCTCTTCAGTTCAGCATGTACTTTCTTGATAACTTGTACAAATTTCTTTATTTCAAACCAATTTCATTCGGGCCTGTTCTTTCGACCATCCTGCATCCTTCACGTTCTTCACCACTGCATTGCATTCTTACCTAGTTACCTTTATTGACAAATTGATGGTTTGCTTCGCCATCGTCGTTTACTTGAACACAATAGCCATCTGAACTTATGATGTGAAACTGATGACAGACAGTAGCTAGTATAAATTCAGTAACAAAAAGGACTTAAAGAAACTCAAATAGAACAGTATGATAGCCAGGTTTTTCAATAAAAGATAAAGAGAAACGATGCTAAAAAAGAACATATATAATGCAAGCTGCAGAGAAAAAAGAAAACATGTACATATAAAAATCCAAGGGTATCATGTGAAGGCACTCAACTCCTGTAGGAAAATGTAAAATTATTACTGCAAGTAGATACTTTACAAGGGATGTTGCAAAATAGATCAGGCAATATAATACAATGGTAGTGCTCAGTAAATTGAAGAGATATGTCTTCTTTCCAAAGAAACAAGATGAAATATGCTTCTAAAGCTAAAGGAGGAAGCAACACTGTAGAAGGAGGATACTAGATGTCGTAGTTGCATGCTAAGATACGGTGTCTCACTGGTGAGGCCAGGACCATGCGGTCCACCCTCTAGCCCGCCGGTGGCCTTCTCGGCCCCGCCGGCCACCTCCCTTTCTCCTTTCTCTACTCGGTCTCCTCCCATGTTGTCCCAAGATCTCTCAGAGCAGGGGGGGCCAGTCGCCGGAGCTCCCCCCGCTCGCCGCGGCTGCGGAGGCCGCCCTCGCCCGCGCGGCGGCTCGCGCCTTTGCGGCTGCCTCGCCCGTCGCCGGTCCTTGGGCCTCGTCGGGGTCTGCGGGGCCCTCCTCCAGGGGTCCCAAGGACAGGATCTCCTTCACCGACTCGGAGGACTCCGACGAGCCTTCCCCGGTGGTCGTCGACGGGAAGGGGAAGGCGGTCGCGGAGCCGCGTCGGGGGAGGACCAAGCGTCACCGTCGCCGCCGCAACGTCCGCTCCACGTTCATGGCTGACGCCCACCGCTCCCCTCCGCCGCGTGAGCCTGGTCGGAGGACCTCGCCCCCACCTCCTCGCCCCCCTCCTCGTCGTCATCAGCCGCGGGCCTCTCTAGGGCGCAGAGGTTCCCCTCCCCCACGTCGTCGCTCGGACCATGACTCTGCTCCCCGCCTCCACGTCCCGCGGATGGGAGCGCCCATGGATGCGGATGGCTTCACTCTGGTGCAGAGCAAGCGACGCTGGCGTCGTCGTGCACCTGCCCGCGCCCACCGTCCTCGGCCCGTGCCTCCGGAGTTCGTTGGGCTATGCTTCAACTGCCTCGCCGGCGATCACGTCCACGCGCACTGCAGGTTCCCGTCGCGCTGCTACCTCTGCCACAGCACCAGCCACCGTGCAAGGAACTGCAAGCGTCACCTCCCCTCCTCCGGCGGTGCTTCCGCCAGGCACAGGGGACCGCCAAGGAGGCGCCTTCGCCGCCCGGACGGCTACATCTCGTCCTCTGGCACGGTGTCGGGTCGCTCCTGCTCCACTGGCAGGGAGACTTCGGTGCCCCCAATCTGCGCACCGGAGTCTCCGCGGAGGTAGCCTGGCTGCCACCGTGCGTCAACGGCGCAACAGCAGGCGGGGCCGGCCGTCCAGGAGATTCAGTCGCCAACGCCTCCTCCACGAGGGAACACGTCGTCACGGACTCCACCGCCCACTCCACCGCCTTCACCTCCGCCCGGCCACGCCTCCATGCGCCCTCGTTCCGAGCTACTCGTCATCCCGCGGTCCGCGGAGCTCAACGCGGTGGAGTCCGCCCTCTCGTCGCTTGCCCTGGTGGCCATGGTGGGCGGCAACCGTCCCCCAGTCTCTCCGGCTGATGTTCGTGGACAGCTCGTGTCCTTCTACAACCTGCCGGCAGACGCGTTCTCGGTATGTCGCTATGCCCCTGAGGATTTCCTCGTGAGGTTCAACAACGCCGACGACCTCGAGGACGTACTCCAGGGGCCGGTTCCGATGGAGACCCCGTTCTACCTGCGCTGGTGTCGTTGGCGCCGCCAATCCATGGCCACCTCTGGCTCGCTCAAATACAAGGTGCTGATTGGCCTCAAGGGGATGCCGGCGCATATCCGGGGGTATCCATTCCACCCAGCGGATCCTCGGGACCTCTTGCGCCAACCTGGTGCCTGCCCCGGCGTCCGCCGCCGGCGAGGACCTGCGTGAGTTCGTCGTTGCGGCCTGGTGTGTCCACCCCGACTTCATCCCACACGAGCGGCTGATCGCGATCCCGGAGCCCGAGGTGCCTTTCGTCGTTGAACCAACACTGTACCTGAGGGAACACGAGGTCATTCACTCTGAGCTGCCTGTGCTCCAGTACGGGGTCCGTATTCGGATCATCGAAGTCCAAGATTGGACTGCGCCGCCGTCGTCGTCGGACGATGCTCCCGGCGACAGCGATGACAACAACAACCCCTACAGGGACTTCGGTGGAGGCCGTTCTGGCCATTGGCCGCGTCGACATGGCCTATGTTGGGAACTTTCAGTGTTGCTGCGGCCGCGGCCTTGGGCCACGTCGTTTGTCAGGGCGCGTCCGTGACCGTGGGCAACGTCGTTTGTCCTATCCTCCATGGTCATCCGAAGCCGCGCTCGACGGGTGGCATGGGTTGGGCGGCCATGCCAGAGCCTGCTTTACCTCTGCCGCAAGAAGCCAAAGCCGGTTTCGAATTTGAACTGTGCTTGCAACAATTCGAACAACCCGATCGTTTTGATCCGTTGCTGCTGGTGGCGGAGGACGAGAGGCACTTTGTCGACTGCAAAGTAGTACTAGTGCCTCCCGCTCCAGAGAATGAGCTGCTCCTTCCTGCTTCCCTACAGCTGTCCCCCATCCAGAGTTCAGCATCTGACCATGCCTCGCAACTTTGGACACCTGCCCCCTGCGCACGCATATGCGCGCCAGGTGACAACGTCGGGATGGACCATCTCTTGACACCGCGCGCTCGTGCCTCCTCTCCAGGCGCGCGCGTCCCACCAAACGACTGTGCGCGGGGATTCGATGCCCGTTCCGCGCCAGTTCTGTCGCCCTCGTGGGACTCTACTCCACAACCTCCTTCTGGCCCAGAAGTGGCCCTGCCCCCATCCCCGGACCTCCTGGGCGTGTCCGCTGGGCCAAGCATTGTGGCCGACTCGGCCCATCCTGTGGCGCCTCACGTCGCACCGTCCACGCCGACTGCACCGGCTGCGCCTACCGCTACTCAGGCGACTGGGGTACAGGCGACTGCGGGCAATGGGTCTCCGCCGCCCGCACAACAGCTGGACGTCGCATCCTTCATCGCCTGCCTCAAGAAGCCCCTTGTCGAGCCGATTCTCGCCTCGGCACCTCGTCCGCCACCGACGAGGCGAGTCGATCATGATCTGGTGCCACGACGCAGTGATCGGCTGGCTGCGAAATCGGCCTATCGCGATCCGGTGCCGGAGAAGCAAGCACGACGAGTCCTCCTCGGCAAATGGACCAACCGCTCCACGAACGCGGCTACCAGGACCCCGGACGACACCATCGCCACCAGATTCCACGAAACCTTCGCTGACCCCCTGTCGTCTTCCAAGCGGGCGGCCATGCGGGAGCTCTTCCCTAAGACTGGTCAGCGTCGGAGCAGGGCGACGGCATCGCCGTAGTGAGCATTCCAGGCTCACCGTCGCACAATTAGTTCTTTACTTAGTTACATCAAAGCGTTCCCCACCGTTTAACGGTGCCTTATGTTTGTGTTCACCCAACCTCCTACGGCACCTCGCCAAGTGGGGGCATTAGGCATGTACTTAGAACTCTAACTTCTCTTAATGAAATACGTGCAATGCACGCTCTCAAAAAAAAATGATGTCGTAGTTGCAGCACAACAGTCAACACAAGTACAAACTTGACAAATGAGGTTCTCCTTAGGTTATATTAGATCATCTGGTGGAGAAATGCAGAGATGAGTACCGATCGAGGTATTTTATCAATAAATTGCAAAGCAAGCTCGTCATCATCTTCAGTCAATATGCCTAAACGACACGTAAAAAATAAAGCAAGACACATAGATGAGATAGATGTATGCACACAATATTATCTAAATGCTTTCTTATGATAACCTGTCCACAATATTACAATAGCAATAACAAGAATTGAGAATGCCATCACACTCCCACATAATGACACTTATCATGGCCAATATCATCGGACATACGTACACAAATAACAATGCGCCAACATAAGTTAAATCTATGCATAGGCGTCACGATGCTTTTTTGCAAACATAAATACGTTATATGGCCTTATTGTCATAGCAACAACCAATACGTAGTACAGTACATGATGACTTGTAGTTGTTACCGTTAGAAATTAGCCCCCACAGCGACAAGCTGTCTGCCAATCTCCACGTGCGGAAGCGTCGATTAAATCTATTGAGACGAACATGCAAGATCATAGACGACACCAGAGGCACGATGTTTTTTAACGAGGTTCAACGATGTGCCTAATCCTCGGGGCATGACTACGGACACTCCTCCCCAAAACCAGTAACACCGGCCGCTCTAGGGTCCCAGCAACGTGCCGCCGCCCTCCTGCGAACCTATCGCTATGTCGTCATAGTTACAACAGCAGTCCTCCTCTCATATTTATGAGGAGACCAGGTTACAGAGTTCAACACCAACTCTACCCTATACTACCAAATACAACTTAGAGTCCTAGCGTAACCAAACTCAGTACAATAATAGTCGACACATATTCTAACAGTTACCACGAAAAAAAACACCGTAGGTTTGGCTTATGTTGCCTTCTAAACATATATATACCTCTGTTGTTCTCAAAACTGGCAAGAGGTGCCCAACCTCTTCGTCAGCCATGGGCCTTGGGCTATAGTTTGCTTCCTGTCATAGTGTCATGGAACATGCTCGGGAGCAACTCCTGGAACTTTTCAAGAAATGCACTCCATTCATTGGCAGTCAAATCTGACAGCTTCACAAAACTTGAGCTGGGAAGCAACATCTCAATGGTGCTCCAACCTGTAACACCCTAGGTGTTTAGGCTTCCACTAAATTGCATGCCATTTCATAAACATGTGCATTATCTATGTCATCATGCCATTATCATTGAAACATACATATGCAACATTTTAAATTGTATGTGTTTCATGCTTGATTGCTTAGAGTCGTGGTAGTAGTGCAACATGTGAATGTAACATGAAACTCTCATACTTTGAAACATGGCAATATGGTAGTAATGTGGCAATCATAAAATGACAACAAGGTCTTGAAACATGTGAAATATTGCATTGCAACATATGAGTGAATTACTTGTTTTAGTTGCTTTATCACATGTGATCATTAAAGGTTGGTATAACAATTTGGTAAAGTGGTTGATCATGGTCTATTACACCTTAACTATACTTAGGTTACTTGTTGGGACATTGTTCATGTAGATCAAAATGACCAAAATGCCCTTAAGTGGAGGTTTGACTTGAATTGACCCTTGGAGTGTCACCGTTTGACTGATTCAAAAGTCCAGCTTAGAAACCTTGCATGGCTGTACACTCTTTACAAAAGTTGTAGCTAATTTATCAAGGAACAAAAGTTGTTTTATGACCAACTCATGAAAATATGTGGAACATGCTCAAACATGGCCCACAAGTCAGAAGTTCATGCTGATTTCACTGAAAAATTTGTCTAAGTCTTAAACTGCCTTTTCAGTTGCATCAAGCTCACTTTGGCTTCATGTAACTGCTGATCCATGACGAGTTAAGGAATGGTCCTTGAAGAGAAATTGTAGATGGATGGTAGGCCTACAATTTTCATGTACACTGTTTTTGCAAATGAGCAACGGATTAGTTAGGATAATGCGTTGAAGTCGCGCTGTCAGGCTGATCAAATCGACTGAATGTGATCTACAGTGACTGACCGAGTTCAGAAAACAAGCGCCGCGTGTGTGCCACCCGTCGCCGGCCTTCTGCTCGCGTAGGCCACGCGCCACGGGCATCCTGGCGCTGCTGGCTGTGACAAGAGCACCCCGCGCGCCTGCCCGACGCACTCGCCGCGCCATTTGCTTTTCCTTCTCCTTCCCCGCGCGCTGCGCCAAGCCACAGCAGCCGTCCGCCATTGCCGACCGCGCGTCGCCGTCATCGTGCGCGCTCACCATCGCAAAAACGCGTCGGCCAGCTCGTTCGTAGCTTCGCTGTGTTCTTCTCCACCTCCTCCACCTCTCAGCCGGGTCATTTGGGGCTTGGTAAGGGCGTATTCGCCATTTCCTCCACCGCCGCCATGGCGGGACCTCGTCGGAGTTGGCGCTCCATGCGGCCAACTACCACCACAGCCTTCCCATCCCCTCCTCTGTGCTCGGTTAGCTTGGTAGTGAACTCCGGAAGCTCGTCCCTAGCTTAGCCGCACCCTATGGGGTCGGGTCTCGCTGGAGCCGGCCATGCCGCGGCCGTGCGCCGCCGTGCTCGTCGCCAGCCCCGGTAGCCATGCCAATAGCTTCCATTTAGGGTACCACTAGATGCGCACGAGTGAGGCGAACACAGTAGCGCCGTTGCCTTCGCCGGAGGAGCCACCGGCGGCGAGTTGCGCCGTCGTCTTCCTCCGCTCCCCTGTCTGTCTCGCTGACGCGCGGGCCCCTCCCGTCAGTCGCCGCGGCTGAGGCGGGAGCCTAGCGTGGGTCGCGCCGTGTCTTGGGCCACGCCAGTACGCTTCGCGGGCCGGCCCAACAGTGGCTGTGATTTGTTTTCTTATTTGTTTTGTTTTTATTATTTCACAGATTTGTGTATAGATTCAAAAATATGTATCTCCTAGTTGGTAGATCCAAATGCTATGGTTCCAATTTTTTTGAGTTCATGATAATGTCTAATATTTAATAAAAATATTATATGGGCACATGTTTTAGAAATTCTAGATGTATTAAATAGGACTTTGAAATGTGTTTTTGGATACATGCAAACTTGTTTGAATTTTATCTTGAGTTTCTGTGGTCCAAAAATTATGAAATTTTGTGGGTAATCTATTATTGCTTAGTAGAGGCTCTGGTTAAAATTTCAGAGCTAGTTCATGTGTAGTTTTTGAGTTATAGAATTTCTTTTTATTAATGGATAGATCTTGTATGAATTTTCATAATTTTTCTATAGATCCAGTAAAGGTAAAATTTGGTGAGTGCTATTGTTATGCTTGAATGATACTAGGAAAAATGTGAAATCTGTTGCTTGACACTTTTCATTAGGGTTTCCTAATTATGCTAAAAATAGGCATGCCACCTGTTATTTTGGATACAGCAAGTTCTGCTTGCTCAATGGCTTTGAAATTTTTATGGTAGTCTATGTGAATCATGAGATAGCTACTGTAATTTTTGTAGATTTTTATGAATAGTTTTACTATATGTTGCTTTAATCACCTAATAAACTAAATAAATTAGAAAAGGATATTAAATAATTTATTTAGAAGTTGGCATTATACTTTCTAGTGTTCCTCTGGTATGTGTAACAAGTTGGTAAACTTGGTCTGGTCAAATTAGGCTTTTTCATCATCATTAAATAATTAAGTTAGTAACCCTGTCATTGCGGGACAGATTATAGGTTTACTGGAATTTGATTTGGTTCACTTAAGAATCATGCTTTGATGTTTACAAATGAATTGTAGAGAATTTCATAAGCTTTCCAGAATGTCCTCTTGTAAGTCATTTGGATTTGTAGAACTCTGGTTGTGATTGAATTAAGGGACTATTTGTGTGCATATGAAGTTTTAAATGTTGATTTATGTATGCCTTTACTATTTCTAAGTTTGTGGTAATGTTCCTATGTGTTAGGCCTTTAACTGAAGATGAGCATGTTTATCTTAGGTTATGCAAGTTAGGTAAGTTGATCTTGTTCTTCAAGTTAAGTTAGATACCTATTTTAAAGTGATTTGAATAGGGCTATTCTTAATCGGTAAACGAGTGTCCAGTAATGTTTTTGTCAAACACTTACTGTGATTCATTCATCATGAGCATCATGTCATTCCTTATGCATCCATGATATTTATCTTGTGCATCGGCATGCAATAGGTGTACCAGAAGGAGTGACCCTGCTGGAATTCGAGGAACCGAGCGAGCAGCAGCAGCCGACACCGGAGGTTCAGGAGGTGCAGCTTTCAGAAGAAGTGCCAAACGAGGTCGCCGTTGAGTGCTCGGATCACCGTCCGTGCAACTTTGTGAAAGGCAAGCCCCGGAGCATATTAAGCCTCCTAATTTCTGAAATGCAGTTACAGTATTATTATTATATATCTATATATATATTGTTGCATTAAGTTTAGGTGTTGGATGCAAACAATTGTTGCATTGGTTACCCAATCCTTGTCCAGATATTGTTACCCTGAATCCTATGTAGCTCAGGCTCGTGTAGTGCTTAGCCCTGCTTAAACGCGGTAGAAGTCAAGTGATTTCCTGTCACCTACGAGATATAGGAATATACATGTGGCATGGTTGGCTATATTTGCTATCGTGGAAAAGAACCAGTCTTAATTTGAAATGAAGACCGGGCGGAGGCTTGCCGGTTTGCAGTGACTCCGTCTATGTCGATTAAGGACCGAATCTTGGAGCCTTTCCTGTTCATGTTGAACGCATGCCTCTCTCTTAGTTGGCCGGGTCTGGAGACCAACCACGAAGCCGAGTAGCTCACCTCAGGCCGGGTGTCGATAAGTATAAAGTGCGCCTCGGAAGGGAGCCGTAGGCGTGAGTCCAAGGGCAGGTGGTTTAAAAGTCCTGATCGTCCTAGCATAAGGGTAATCCCTAAGAGTGTTGGCGCTGATCGAACCTGCGAATTTGGTTCCTGAGTTGTTCCAAAGGTGACCCATGGCTACCCTTGCAAAGTATGCCAGGGTGAGAGTTAGGAATACCCCCTCAGCTGAGTTGTAATTCGATTCGAATCGCCGTCTCTCCCGGTTAGTGAGAACTTGACGGGCTTATCTCCAATGTAGATGCACTAAATAACATAATGGTTCAGAAATGATGATATGATGATGACAGCCTTATTATACCTGCTATGGTTAATATTGTTTGCTCCTAATAAGTGAGTGCTCTAGTATAGGTGCTAATCTAGTGGACAGGTAAATAATGATAAGCTTGATGCAAAGTTTAAATTGGTTACTATAATCATAAGCTCTTTATGCAACTGTGTCAAGCTATCCCACCTCATAAGCCTTGCATGATCCTTGGTGTCTTTTATTTCTAGTTTTCGGCGGGTAAGTCTAGCTGAGTACCTTCTCGTACTCAGGGTTTATCTCCCACCTGTTGTAGATGACCAGTTCTACTTTGGTTGCTGCAAGTACTGCCTTCTCTCAGCTGGGGATGAAGACTAGGCCGTTGGGCGCGGTCTCTACTAGTTCTCATACCTGATAATGCTTTTATGGGACATGACTCAGATCTGGCAATGTATTTAAAACTATGAAGTTATGTACTAAACTATGTTGCTTCCGCGCATTTGAACTTGGTTTGTAATATTTTATTTGAATTCTGATGGATG